TTCTCGGAAGTGGGCGGAGCCTCTCACAGTGGGCGGGGCTTCATGGAGCAGTCCAAAAATGCAAAAATTTTGAAAAAAAATTCCGCAAAAAGCAAGTGGGCGTGGCCAAGGGGCGGAGCCTAAATTGCCAGTGCATAAATGCGCGGGTACGAGTATCTTCGTTGTGCAAAGAGTGGATGTGAAATTAAAAAGTTGAAAAAGTGAAATTTCGAAGTTCGCAACAAACCCTTTGAAGAATGGGCGGAGTCGGCCATGTGTTGAAAATCTATGTCCGCGCTGACAAGTAGGCGTGACCGTCGGGGGGGCTCGCAGTGGTGTCTGGCGTGATCTGGTTGGTGAACTGCCCGGTCTAAAAAGAGTGGTGAATTTGATTTGAAAAGTGGTGAATTTGGTTTGAAAAGTGGTGAATTTGGTTTGAAAAGTGGTGAATTTGGTTTGAAAAGTGGTGAATTCAAAGTGAAAATGGTATAAACTTGGAGTTATTTGGCATCCTTATCGCGAGTACGACATTCATTTTTGGCGCCGGTGGTGTCCTTGAGCTCACATGTTGTGCGCCCTGCTAAGGCTGATCCTAGGGAAGGTTATCACTACTTCCTTGGCTTCGTGGAAAAACTCACTGGCGAACGCACGCGTCGCGTGCTCCTTTGCGATAACGCGACAAAAGGGAAAAGGAGTCAGCGCTCTGCCAGTGCATTCATGAGACACTGAACCTCCTAACTTCTGCCGAGGAAGGGTATACAACCGCAGGACAACGGAGAAGGAATGAAGGCACTATTTACCCTTTACTGCCCCAATCTTACGAAACAGGCCAGTTTTCAACCGACTTTTTACTGCGTTGGCAGAATTGGCTAAAAATTTGTTCCCTGGGGTATTTTGACCTCCTGAACATGAATATCACATCCACTCGGCATCTGTCACATCCACTCGACACCACGCAACATCTTGAGTCCAAATCTGTGCGCTTAGAAAAAAGTCGGTCAAAGTCTGGCACTAATTCTGAATGGTTGGGGCAATAAAGGGTAAATAGTGCCGAAAAAAAATATAAATAATGATGACTGATTGACAGCACTAGGATATGAAAGGCTAAAAGCACATTACAAGAGTAGGAATAACACTTCCTCCGAGATATGCTCATACTGCTGTGATTATCGACTGCATTTATCACCGCGCGCTGCGACGCTACCGAGGCGAACATGGGCTGATAAAGAGCTAAACTATCGGATCGCAGTGATGGCAGCCTCGGTCAGTGTTCACTCCTTCGTTGCAATGACATCGGCTACATGTGCGCCACCGGTGAGCTTATGGTTAGCTCTCCCGCCCCCTCCTAGACTCAGGCTTAGCAGAGTGCTAGATAGCGCCGACGTTGAACATCGGTGGTCGCATTCGTGATTGGAATAACCCATTCATTTACCCGTACTTCACGGAGCCGAAAAAGTGAATGCAACACGTAATCACGATGCAAAATAGCAAATGGGTGTGCAAGTCTATATCAGTTTTCGTGGGGGATGTGGGGGAGGTATAATTTACGTCCGGGTCATACCAGTTAGATTCCGGATACGCGCAAGTGATGCCGTTTACATGTGTGTGAATCGATACTCATGAGTCAGCAAGCTGTGAGTAATATTTCTTAGGAACAGTTTCAGTGAACAACGCACTGATGTAATGGAACTGCAAATAATGTATTAGGTTGTCCGGAAAGTTCTCAGCGTTTTGTGTTACTATTTTTTGTACATTCATTGCTGATTAAAAACTCATTCTCCCTTGCGTCTCAGTAGTACAA